TGGAAGGAGGGGTGGGGGGAAGGTGTTTTTAAGATTGTTTTGTTTCTCACTCTTTGGGTCTTATCCTGTCAGTAATAAATTTAGGTAACATCCCCACTTGGAGTCTGTTTTGCCTGTGAAGGTGATCAGTCACTGACCTCTCCCAGCTCTTATCTCAACTCATGAATCCTCAGCTGTTTTTTTTCTCTCCTCTGTCCAGTTGCAGAAGGAGTGTGAGAGTGGCTTTAGTGGGTACCTGGCATCCAGCCAGGGTCAACCCATGACACAGAGTTTAAGTCTTGTGAATTCCTTCAGCTTTACCAAACAGGGCTTAGTCCTGTATCCACCCATAGCTGCGTGCAAGTGGATATCTTAGTCCTGAGACAAAACCATGTGGGCCTGAGCACTACTGATAAGGTGTATCTTGGCCAGACCACAGAGCTGGGAAGCATTCCAGAAGAAGAAACTGGTTTTTTTAGGCTTGTGACCAAAATAGGGTAATTTGAGGAAGGGATATTTCCCAAATGCAGCGGAGCAGCACGATGGCTCCGGCGCTGGCTCTCGGGGCACTCCTGGGGCTCCTGGGGCTCCTGGGGGACCCAGGGGGGGCAACGAAAGGTAAGTGGGACCCTTGGAACTGGGCCCTCCTGAACTGCCATTCCTGGGAAGTGAACCCCCCTTCCCGAGAATAGGAAACCCCCTGAACTCCCATTCCCGGGAAGAGGACTCTCCTGCACCCCTTCCCTGACATGAGCACCTCCCTGAACCCCCTTATCCATCCCCAGGACCCCATGAACCCTCTTCCCTGGGCACTGGAACTCTCCTGAGCCCCCATTCTCGGGAAGGGGCCCCCCTGAATGCTCATTCCCAAGCACGGGTACTGCCCTGAACCCCCATTCCTGGGCACGGGGACCCCCCTGTGCCTCCTCCCCCAACATCAGGACCCCCACAAACCCCCTTATCCAGCACCGGCATCCTCTGAATCCCCATTCCCGGAAAGGGGACTCCTCTGCATCCCTTCCCTGGCACAGAGACCTGCCTACATCCCCTTATCCAGCCCTGGAACCCCCCTGGACCCTCATTCCTGGGCACGGGGACCCCCTGAACCCCCATTCTGGGGAAGGAGGCCCCCCTGAACTCCCATTCCTGGGTACCAGGACCCCCTTGAACCTCCATTTCCAGGCACGAGGACCCCTTACCCTGTACCAGGACCCCCCTGAATCCCTACTCCTGGGCAGCAGGATGTCCCTGACACACCTCATCCAGCACTGGGACCACCTGAACACCCATTCCCATACATAGGGACCCCCCTGCACCCCATACCTGGCTCCAGAACCCTCCTGGACACCCTTATCATGCTCCAATAGCCCCCCACATCCCCTTTTCCCATAATCCCACCTCTTCCAGCCCCTCTTTTCCTTGACCCTGGGAACCCGGAGCCTCATTTCTGCCTTTTCCAGCCCCCAGCCCCTCTTTTTCTCTACTCTGAGGACCTCCAGGACCCACCCCATGACTCCCCTTTCCCCAGCACTGGGGCTCCTTGGACCCCCCTTTTCTGGGCACAGGGACCCCCTGGAGCCCCCCATCTCACCTCTCCTCATCCCTGCATCCCTCTTTCCTTGACCCTGGGACCCCCAAGCCCCTTTCTGGCTCTCCCAGCTCTCCCAGTTTCCCCTTTCCTTTACCAGTGAGCCCTCTCAGCTCTGGAACGCAGTATCCAGGAGGGCTGAGGAGGGTCTGCGGGGGGCAGTGGGGGCTGCGCGGGGAGGGCACGGCAAGGGGAGATTCCCCCGCCGCCCCCGCGGGATCCCGCAGATCCCGGCGCTTCCCGCCGCTTGGCCCCGAACCAACGGGTTAAGGCCGAGTTAAGCGAGCAGGGCCCGCGAGTCAGCTCAACGCCCGGCCGGAGGTCCCACAGTACATGGGCTGAGGAGGGTCCGCAGGGGGCGAGGAGGGTCCAGGGGGTGCCCGGAGGGGCCCCAAGGGGAATCCCCAGGAGAATTCCCAGAATTCCCCCGCCCCGCCCCCCGCGCTCCCTCGATTCGCTTCCGCCTCCCAAACTGCGCGACCAGGATCTGCTTAGCGACCGATGACGTCACGAGCAGATCGTGCTGCCATTGGCGGTCAGGAAATAGCGGCGCCAATCGCGGGGCCGGAGGCGGCTCTGTGGGCGGGGCCCGGGCTGTGGGCGGGGCCAGCGGAGCAGCGCGATGGCTCCGGCGCTGGGTCTGGGGGCGCTCCTGGGGGTCCTGGGGCTCCTGAGGACCCCGGCGGGGGCGGCGGAGGGTAAGTGGGGCCCTCGGAACCGGGAGCTCCTGGACCGCCACTTCCGGGCACGGGAGCCCCCCTGAACCCCCATTCCTGGGCACTGGGTCCCCCTTGAATCCCCTTATCCAGCACCGGGACCACCTGAAACCCCCGTTCCTGTGCGCAGGGACCCCCCTGCACCCCCTTATCCGGCACCGGGACCCACCTGAACCCCTTTTCCCTGAGCTTGAGACCCCCTGGATCCCCATTCCCTCCTTTCCCAGCCCCCAGCCCTTCTTTTCCGCAGCACCGCGGACCTCCAGGACCCCCATTCCTGGCCATGTTGGGTTTCCCACCCCGTGACCACCCTTTCCTCGACACTGGGAGCAGCAGGACCCTCCTTTCCTTGGCAGAGGGACCCCCTGGACCACCCATCCCCCCTCTCCGAGCCCCTGCCTCCCCTTTCCTTAACTCTGAGACCCCTTGAAATCCCCCTTCCCCAGCACCAGCGCCCCCCTGGGCCCCCCTATCCTGCACCAGTATTGCCCTGCACCCCTTTTCCCAGCCATCCCATCTCTCCTAGACACCTTTTGCTTGACCCTAAGACCCCCTGACTCCCATTCCTGCCTTTCCCAGCCCACAGCCCCCCATTTCTTCTACACCAAAGACTCCTGGGACCCCCATTCCCGGCCATCCTGGGTCTCCCCATCCCATGACCCCCCCTTTCCTCGATACTGGGACGACCTGGCCCCCCATTCCTGCCTTTCCCAGCTCTCAAACCCCACTTTCCTCAACACTGGGGACCACTGTACCCCCCCTTTCCTGGGCACAGGACCCCTCTGAACCTCCATCCTGCCTCTCCTAGTGCCCTCACCCCCTTTCCTTGACCCTGGGACCCCCCAGACCTCCATTCCTGGGCATGGGGACCCTCCTGCACCCTCTTATTCAGCACCCAGATCCCCCTGAACCCCTTATCTGGGACTGGGACCCTCTCTATGCTCCTGTTGGGCACTGGGACCCCCCTGCATCCGCTTTCCTGGGCGCAGGGACCCTCCTACACCCCCTTATGTAGCAGCAAGACCCCCCTGAACCTCTATTCCTGTGCACTGGGGCCCCCCTACTCCCCCTTATTCTGCACCAGTACCCCCCTGCATCCCCTTCCTGGCCATCCAGCCTCTCCCAAACACCTCCTTTTCCTTCACCCTGGGACCCCCTGGAGCCCCATTCCTGCCTTTTCCAGCCCCAAGCCCTCCTTTTCCGGAATGCAGGGGACCCCTGTGACCCCCCGTTCCCTGACATCCTGGGTTTCCTCACCCCATGATCCCTTTTTCCCCAGCACTGGGGCCCCCCTTTCCTGGGCACAGGGACCCGCTGAAGCCCCCTATCCCACCTCTGCTCATCCCTGCATCCCTCTTTCCTTGACCCTGGGCCCCCCAAGCCCCTTTCTGGCTCTCTCAGCTCTCCCAGTTCCCCCTTTCCTTTACCAGTGAGCCCCCTCAGCCCCCCAGTCTCTCACCTTGGGCCTCCCCAGACCCCCCAAATGTCCATGTCCCCCCAGTTCTCCACTCCCTGCGTTACCTGCGAGTGGTGGTGTCGGAGCCCAGCCCGGGGCTCCCCCAGTACGTGGGGGTGGGATATGTGGACGGGATTCCCTTCGCGAGCTACAGCAGCGAGCTGGGCCGGGTGGAGCCACGGACTCTGTGGATGGCGGCTGGAGCTGAGCCGGGATATTGGGATACGGAGACCTGGATCAGCAAGATGTACCAGCACGAGGACCCCGCCCACCTGAAGATGCTGCAGATCCGGTACAACCAGAGCGGGGGTGAGTGGGGGGAGCCAGGGAAGGATCTGTGAGGCTGGGATGTGGATCTCTGGGGCTGGGATGGGGATCTGTGGGGCTGGGATGTGGATCTGTGGGGCTGGGATGGGGATCTGTGGGGCTCCAAGGGACTGGGACGGGATCTGTGGATCTTCATCAGACTATGGGACTCCATAGGGCTGGAATGGGGCCCTGTGGGGCTGGGACACACTTCCACGGGTCTCTGTGGGTCCGATTCCATCCCCCAGGTCTCCACACGCTGCAGCGGGATTTCAACTGTGAGCTCCTGTCTGATGGGAACGTCCGTGGATCCTTTCGGCAAGGCTTCGACGGGCAGGATTTCCTTTCCTTTGAGCTGGGATCCAGGAGCTTTGTGGCGGCTGATGGTGCTGCCCAGATCACCAAGAGGCGCTGGGAATCTGACGGGACCATGGTGGAGAGGTTGACAAATTACCTGGAGCACATCTGCCCGGAAGCGCTCCAGAAACACGTCCAGTATGGGCAGGAGGCGCTGGAGCGAAAAGGTGGGGGCAGAATTCCCATGGGAATGGGGAACTTGGGAATGTGGGATTTGGGAAGGCAGAATTTGGGAATACAGGAATTCCCATGGGAATTCTGTTTATGCATCTCATCCTCATCCTATTCTTATGGGAGTTCTGTGGGTGGATCTCATTGCTGTCCCATTCCCTTGGGAATTCCATGTATAGATCCCACCATTATCCCATTCCAGAGCCCCCTGACGTCCATGTGTCCGGGAAGGAGGAACATGGGATCCTGACGTTGTCCTGCCACGCGTACGGATTCTACCCCGGGATCATCGGGATCAACTGGCTGAAGGGGGATGAACTGCGGGATCAGGAGACGGAGTGGGGCGGGATCGTTCCCAACAGCGACGGCACCTTCCACAGCTGGGCCAGGATCGAGGCGCTGCCGGGGGAGCGGGAGCAGTACCGGTGCCGGGTGGAGCACGCCGGAATGCCGGAGCCCGGGATCTTCGCCTGGGGTGAGGCTGGGAACGGGGAATGTGGGAATTGGGAAATGAGGAATTTGGGGATGCGGAGCAGTGGGATGGGGGTTCCAGTTTCCCCTCCCCCTCCTCATCATCCTGCGCTTCCCAGAGCTGGAATCCGGATGGAATTTCATCCTGGTGCTGGTCGCTGTGTCCATCATCACTGCCATCATCATCATCCTCATCCTCATGAGATTTGGCGTCTGGAAGCTCCGATCCAGGGATCTTGTGCCACGGGTCCCAATCCCACTTCATTTCCATAGGAAAGAGGGAGAGGAAGGGATATAACATGGCAACTGGTGAGTTCCAATGGTGGATCCAGCTCTGGATCCCCTCCGTGTGCATCCCACGATGGATCCTGGGGTTCATCCCGGTGTGTAATCCATGATGGAATCTCATGGATCTTCTCTTACTGCAGGAATAGACATGTGAACCAACAGCTTGACCGCAGGTATGGAGTGGGATCAGGGTGGGATTCCAGAGGGGGATTGGGGCAGGGTGAATGGAGTGGGACCAGGGAGGGATTCAGGATCAGGGCAGGATTCCAAATTGCTATCAGGTGGAATTGTGGAGCAGGATCCGGGCTGGATTTTGGAGCAGGATCAGGTGGGATGGATGGAGAGGGATTGGTGTGAGATGGATGGAGTGGGATCAGGTGGAATTCTTGACCAGCTCCTGCTCTCCATGGGCTCCACAGCTGGGTCCATCCGGCGGGATGGGGACAGGGACAGGGTGCCACCATGACCCACTCTCATCCCAGCAGGAATCACCACCTGAGTGATCCATGGACCCAGAGCAAGGGAAATCCAAGAGCTACCAGCTGAGCTCGTCCCACTGCTCCCACCCACCCCAGCCCTGCCATGTCTCTTCTGAATGGATCATCTTCCCATTTTCCCATGTTTGAAAGCCAAGAATCACAGCTATTTCAATGCTTTCATTTTGGTGTGAAAATATCCTTCCCCCACGTCCAGCAGAGCAAATTCCAGCGACTCCATGACACACTCACCACTGGCCAAGGCCGAGACCATCAGAGATGGCAGTGACGCCGTGGGGAGAACATACTGAAGGAGGAAAAAGTCCTTGTGCAGATGGAATTGGGTGCAGAGAAGAGCAGAGTGGGAACAGGGGACAGGAACAGCTCTGCAGACCCCCAGGGCAGTGCAGAAGGAGGGGGAGGAGGTGCTCCAGGCTCAGGGGCTGAGATTCCCCTGCAGCCCAAGGAGGAGCCCACACCGGAGCAGGGAGATGCCTAAAAAGAAGGATGTGAGCCCGTGGGAAGCCCGTGCTGGAGCAGAGTCCCTGCAGCTGCTGTGGCCCCAGAGAGCTCCAAGGGTCTCACTCAGCACTGCTGGTTATGGGGCCCCTACAGAGGGGGCTTGAGGCACTGGAATTGTCCATCCTGGCCCCAATTCAGGTCTGTGACTTTCTCTGAAAGTTGGAGAACAAAAATAGGATTCCACTGGGATTGTTCTTCAGGCAAGAAAAATAATAAATTTCTGAGGCTGCTTTAATAAGCAGCAGGAGCTGGTTAGACAGCACCAGTTCCTGGGAGCAGAGAGTGTTTCTGAGCAGCTCAGCCCAGGGCTGTTCATCAAGGCTGAGGCCTAAGGAGCATTTCTCAGATCACAGGGAGGCCTGGGGGGGGTGGGAATGCACCACCACACCTGGAAAGGTGTCCTCCCAAGGACTTGCACAGCTGGGAGGTGTTTTTACTCTCAGCCCTCCCCCCATCCCCCTCTCCCCCAGTCACCCCCCAAGGTGCTGGACGGCCCTTCAGATCCACCTGAGACCACCCCGTCTCTCCAAGAACCTGCAGGAGGGAAAGCAGCTGAGTCTAAACCAGCAAGTGTTCTGTCGAGCTTTAATGTCTCACAGCTGCTTGCAAGCTTGTTTTGCTTTGTTTGCTGAAATGCATAAATAGTATAAAAAGCTTTGCGAGTTGGTGCTTGACTTGTGAAACAGCACCGGGCACCCAGCTCTGGAGTAATAACGACTCAGTGTGTCTCTCGAGTGTGTCACTGTCGGCTTGTCGCAGCCCGGGGAACGAACGCGATGTTTGCGGCCAAGGCCGAGGCACAAACTCGTTCCGAGCCCGCCGGGGCTCAGCGGGAAGGAGGAGCCCGCGGGCAGCCGCTGAAATAGAGACAAGACAAAAGAAAATAAAAATTTAGCCATGTTAGCATGAAGTGTGACTTTGCAGAATTGTAACTGCTTGCAAATAGCCCAAATTGTGGGCAGTTAAGATAAAGGGGAAGTAAAGAAATAAGGGACTGACAGGGAAAGTGGGAAAACAAAGGCTTTTAGCACATAGCATTGTGAGGGAGACAGGAGAGGGGTGGGGGAAAAACAGCGCTTGAAATGATAAAGCTTTATGTAACTACTCTATAATAATAAAAATAGGGATAGGTAACTGAATGTCTATTTAGATAAGGCAGACTTCGTACCAATTCTCAAAGAGTGTATATGATAGGTAATTTTTGAAACTTACTCCTTCCAAATGGATAAAAGCTGTTGTGTTTCTTTCCTCAGTGGAATGCACGGGGGGACGAAACCCCTTTGCATTGCCCCGGCCGGAAATAAAAAGTGTGCTTTTACATATTGTTTAAGGATTTCTTTGAATCACCGCTCCCTCAGCGGTCCCTGGGGAGGGGACACGGGGGGCCGAGCCCGCAGACCGCTTCCCGCGGCGCCTTTTTTTTTTCCCCCCGGGGCCCCCCCCCCCCCCTTATCCGGGCCCCCTCCCGCAGGCACGGGGAAAGGGGGCCCCCCGGCCGAGCCCCGGCCAGGACGACGCGAGGTCCCACCGCGCGAGGCGCCCCCGAAGCTCCGCGCCGGCTCAGCGCCGTCGGGCGCTTGCGCCGCTGCCGGCCCGGCAGGAGGAGGGGGGGATGCCCGCCCGAGTTGACCAGATGAGCGCGGCGGAGGGCGAGGGTGACGGGGCACAGCACCAATCGATGGCGGGAACTCGAGCTCTGCCGCGCGCCATTTTGTGGCGCGGGCCCGGGCCGGGGGGCAGGAATAGGGCATTGCCCGATCGGCGCTGGGGGCACAAAGACCCGACTGGTGGACATTGATGGGATCGGGAACCGCTCAGATCCGAGCAGAAGGGTGAGAAGTCAAACGAATCCTAATAAAACACCTTCCCCCACCCCTCCCTCCTTCACGGACTTCACTTTATCCTCTATTTCGTCCCTCCGCTTCGCGGAGGAGTCGTGTCTGCTCGTCAGGTGGTGGGGTAGACGTGGAGTCCGTCTGCTCTGTCCTGTGGGTAGAGCGGAGTCCCGTGGTCTGCTCCGTCAGGTTGGGTAGAGTGGAGTCCGTGTCTGCTCCGCAGGTGTGGGGTAGAGCGGAGCCGTGTCTGCTCCGTCCCAGCGTGGGTTACTGCCGGGAGAACAGTCCTCGGGAACAGGTTGGCTCCACCTGGGTCCCCACGGGGTCACAAGTCCTGCAGGAGCCTGTTCCGCGTGGGCTCCTCTCTCCGCGGCTCTGCAGGGCCTTCCCACGGGCTCTCGGCCTCCTTTGGGCACCCCCTGCTCCGGCGTGGGCTCCTCCCTGGGCTGCAGGGGGGTCTCTGCTCCATCCTGGACTCGTCCACAGGTCACAGGCCCTTCAGCTCAACTTCACACTGCCTGTCCAGTGCAGCAGCAATTCCCAGGCCTCCTGTCAGCCCGGGCACATCGCCAGGGCTGTTGTCCAGCATTCCCAGGCACAGCACAGTGAGGTGATCAGAGCTGAGCAGCTCAGCAGCAGCGACAGCAACAAACAGCCACTAAGGAGCACCAGACTCTGACACACAGCCAGGAGCCCCAGACAGCACCAGCAGCTGTAAATTCCAGCAGCATGTCCCAGTCCCACCTGTCAGGATCTCCAATGCTCCCAGCCCCACCTTGGACACCAACAAAGGCTGTTGTGGTTTCACCCCATCCAGCCCCAAGCCCCCCCAGCCACTCCTCACTCACCCACCAGCAGGACTGGGGAGAGAACTGGGAGGGGATGAGATAGAGTTTAATAAGGACAAGCAAAAGCTGCACAGACGGGCAAAGCAAAACAGGGAATTCATCCTCTACTTCCCATGGGCAGCAGGTGTTCAGCACCTCCAGGAGAACAAGATCCCATCCCACAGAATGGTGACTTGGGAAGACAAACTCCATCACTCCAAATGTCCCCCCACTTCCTCCTTCTCTCCCCCACTTTATACACTGAGCATGATGTCACATGGTCTGGAATATCCCCTGGGGCAGTTGGGGTCACCTGTCCTGCCTGTGTCCCCTCCCAACCTCCAACATGCCCCCAGCCCCTCCCCAGCGTGTCCATACAAGGGACAGGAAAGGCCTTGGCTCTGAGTGAGCTCAGCACTGACAAAACCTTCTCTCTCTTCTCAGCCCTGTGTTCAGCACACACCCAAACACAGTCCCACTCCAGCCTCTGCAGAGAAAATTACCTCCACCCGCCCCAAACCAGCACATTCCAGCCCTTATTCCACACCAGTCCCATCATGCCCAGGCCCCACAGGACTCAATACAACTTCAGCCCTCACCACCTCCTTCCCATTCTTTGTGTAACACACAGGTCTTGTTCCCTTACTCTATGCACCGCCCCTGCAAAATGTCCATAAAATGGCCCCAAAATCCCCGTTGAATTCCTCCAGTCCAGTCCTTTGGGCTCCCCCTGTTCTGGTGGTCCCTTGGGCAGGAGAGGGGCTGTGTGGGGGCAGTTCCTGGGCACCAAAGGCAGCTCAGGTCAGGTCCCTGCTGCCCTGCAACTGCTGCTTGTGAGGCTCTGTAAGAGATTGTTCCATCTCTGACTTGCTTCTTTGTTTTTACATTGACTGGTGTAATGAACAATAAGTAATTGGGCTATTGCCATCAGCTGAGGTACGTGCCAAACTAAGTTTTTCAGGCTACCAGGAGCCCCCCGGAGCCCAGTGACTGAACAAAGTGGTGGACATCAACTTTAGCCTTTAGCAGGGCTGCCTTCATCGACCCAGGGGGACATTGTGGACTGCTCGCTGGAACCCCTGGAGAGTCTCCAACAGAAAGGTGTTACATTTTCCCGCCTTGGCAGAGCCAGCCTGCCTGGTGAATCCGAAAAATCCGGTATAATAAACTGCCCAGAGTCCTTTTGATCTTTGAGCAGCAAAGGTATTTATTGACAGCGCTGGGAGCAAGCCAGCCATTGCTGGAAAAACTTGCTCAAAGGCTTCACACAAAATCAGCAGTTTTTATACAATTTTCGTATATGATTAAATGCATATTCAAGTGCTTACAACATCTATCTATACATATTAATAACAGGCAGAGTATAGGTGGAACTCAGGAGGGGCTTGGGGCAGTCCTTCTCTTGGCCCTCAATTTTGGTGGTAGATCCGATCTTCCTCCCATGGGTCTGGGGGCTAATTCTCATCTTCCTCGGCCTGACCTCCCTTCTCTTCTATTGTCCTCGACCCGCTCACTGACGCTTGGAGAAGGCCTTGGCTCCCAGCCTGTTTCTTCTATTCAAATGTCTACCTTATCCTACTGCATCTTTATTACCTCTAGGCCTATTCTATGATTCTTTTACCATTCTTTTAAGTTTTGGTCCAGTAGGTAGAACAGAACGAGTACACATCATACAGATGGTAATAGCTGGTTAGCAGGCCCAAATTTCTCAGTTAACTCTTTTGGGCCTGGCCTCCTGTTTCACTGGATAGCAGCAGCTCCACCAATCGACACCGTGGAAAAGTCTGCCCGGAGCCAAGCTGGCCAGGGAGCGCCCACCGGGGGTATCCAAGGCAGTGCCCAGCTTTGTGGTCCTGTCCAGCCCAGTCGGTGTTGCCCAGGGTCCCGTGCTGGCTGCTGGCCCCGCTCCTCGCTCCGTCCTGCTTTGCCTCCGTCTCGCCTGCCTCCGTCCTGCTCGTGTCCCACCTGCCTGCGTCTCCTGTTTGCCTTGGATCCAGTCTGCTCAACACCTGCTTCTCTCCAGCGGTCCTTCCCTGACTGCCTGAGGCTGACTACACCTGGTTCTCTCACTGGTGGTGGGAACCTTTTTGCACTTTCCTTTTTCTCCTTTTGTTAGCCTTTCCTTTTCCTTATCTTTCCTTATCTCTCCCTTTCCTTCCTCCCCCCCCCCCCCCCCCGCTTTTACTGTTTTAACTTATTGTTACAAATAAAGTTAATTGTCTGTTTGAGACCATTTGGAGTTTTGTGCCTTAATCTCGCTTTCAAAGTAATCCTCTAAAAGAACCTCGTTACAGCCTCTGAACGGTCTGTACCAGGCACTTGGTGTGTTCAGCTGGAGAAGAGGAGACTGAGGGGAGACCTCAGTGCAGGTCCAACTTCCTGGGGAGGGGCAGAGGAGGGGCAGGCCCTGAGCTCTGCTCTGGGGGGACCAGGGACAGGACTGAGGGAATGGCCTGGAGTTGGGTCATGGGAGGCTTAGGTTGGATATTAGAAAGAAGTTGTTCCCCCAGAGGGTGGTTGGGCACTGACCAGGCTCCCCAGGGCAGTGGGCACAGCACCAAGGCTGACAGAGCTCAAGAAGTGTTTGGATGATCCTCTCAGGCCCATGGTGTGAGATGGGGATGGTCGCAGGGTCCAAGGGTTGGACTCGCTGATCCTCATGGGTTCCTTCCAACTCAGCACATTCTGTGATTCTTTGTAACACCCCACCTTTGCCTGCTTTGATGCTTCTGTTAACCACAAGTTCCTTCCTTTATTGTTTCTTTGCTTGGCAGCTTGGTTACACAGAAACTTTCTATGGCACATTCTGCTGCAACCATTACTAGATCTGTTATGTCTCCAAACCCAATGTCAGCCCTATGGAGCCAGGCCAGGATCCACTGGCCCTCTTGGCCACCTGGCCACACTCTGCCTCTTGTTCAGCTTCCTGTCCATCCCCACTCCCAGCTCCCTTTCTGCCTGCCTGCTCTCCAGCCACTCTGGCCCCAGCCCGGGGGGCTGCCAGGGCTTCTTGTGGCCAAAGGGCAGGACCCGGCCCTTGGCCTGCTGGAACCTCATCCCTTGGAATCAGCCCATGGATCCAGCTTGGCCAGGTCCCTCTGCAGAGCCCTCCTGCCTTCCAGCACATCAACACACCCCCCAGCTGGTGTCAGCTGCAAATTTGCTAATGGTGGACTCAATCCCCTCATCTAAATCATCAATAAAGATATTAAACAGGACTGGGCCCAACACTGATCCCTGGGGAGCACCACTGGTGACCGGATCCCAACTGGATGCAGCACCATTCCCACCAGTCTCTGGGCCTGGATCTCCAGCCAGTTCCTAACCCAGCACAGAGTGCCCCTGTCCAAGCCTTTTCCAGGAGTGTGCCATGGGAGATGGTGTCCAAGGCTTTGCTGAAGTCCAGACAGACACATCCACACCTTCCCCTCATCCACCAGGTGGGTCACCTGATCATAAAAGGAGATCAGGTTGGTCAGACAGGACCTGCCCCTCCTAAACCCCTGCTGGCTGGGTCTGATCCCTTGTCCATCCTGTAGGTGCTGTGGGACTGCACTGAGGATGATCTGCTCCAGAACCTTGCCAGGCACTGAGCTCAGGCTGACAGGCCTGGAGTTTCTCAGGTCCTTCTTGCAGCCCTTTTTGTGGATGGGTGTGACATTCCCCAACTTCCAAATATCTGGGACCTCCCCAGTGAGCCAGGGCTGTTGGTAAATGATGGAGAGCGGCTTGGCGAGCTCTTCTGCCAGCTCCTCATCAGCCTTGGGTGGATCCCGTCTGGTCTCATAGACTTGTGAGGATCCAAGTGGCTCAGCAGGTCACTGACTGTTCCCTCCTGGATTACAGGGGGGCTGTTCAGCCTCCTGTCTCTGTCTACCAGCTCCAGAGGCCACTTGTCCTGAGGACAACCTGTCTTACTGTTGAAAACTGAGGCCAAGAAGGTGTTAAATACCTCAGCCTTTTCCTCATCTTTGGTAATTATGTTCCTCCAAACCCCATGTTCAGCAAAGAATGGAGGTTTTCTTTGCCTCTCCTTTTGCTATTGATGTATTTATAAAAACACTTTTATTATCCCTTACAGAAGTGGCCAGATGGAGTTCAAATTGTGCTTTTGCCTAATTTATTTTCTGCAGTTTGTTCCGTTGTTCTCGTGAGTGAACAGAGGGGTTTGATTTTTCTCTTCTCTCGGGTGGGTTATGCTTTACAGTCCTCCCCTGTCTTTCAGGAGGTTCTCACAGTTCAGTTTTTCGGCTCCTTTTGGTGTGTTCCACAGCATGATTTTCCCAGTCCCTGAGCCTTGCATGGTTTACCGTGTCATGCAGGAGTTCTGCCCACATAGGGACCAGTCTCCTCAGGGCCTGTGGATCTTGTAAAGTTTCATTATGCATTACATCTCTTCTGATTTCATTTTGTCACCCCACTAAATATATTTTCTACATTTTTCTTGCATATTTTCCCACTCCTACCAGTTATCCACTGGCCAACGACCATCAGTGTTAATGTGTGACTGTGCCTCCATAAATATTCGGTTAAGCCTTTTGTCTGTTTCTCAAAATCATTTGCCATCCTGCTGACTACACCAAATTGTTGTGGGTGGGAGTGGAAGGCTTTGAGACAAAGTTCATTAGAGAAGTCCTGCTGTTGAGTCTCGAGGTGCAGAAAGGACTCCCTGGCTTTCTAAACTCCTGCTCCGAGAGGAGCCTGGGGGCGGCTGGATCCAATCTCAGCCTCGGATTATATTAACAAAGGATTTAAGGAAAGACAGAGATGTGATTGAATCAGCTTTTAATGATGGCAAACCAGATATATTTATATAAAGTTATTTATTATTTATGACAAATGAACAGACAAGTGTACAGAGGAAAGATCTTAACCAGAATAATTTACTACACAGTATAAATGCTACAAACCTACCAGTAGAGTATAATATAGCATAAAATAGTGCCCTGTATCAAAGCAATTCTAGCAAAGCAATTGTACCAAATTGTATCAAAACTGGCAAAAAGAACCAAACATTAGTGGGGATTGATGTAACTCCGTGTGCAATTTAACCCCTGAGTAACCATGAAGAGGCCTCCCTGCTCCATGGGACAAGCTCTGCACACTCCAGGAAAGTCTGTGGAAGAATCTGCCACGTGAAAGTTGGGCTGGGCTTTCATAGTTACAAAGAGTTTGATTGCCAGTCCCATTTCTGCAGGCCAGCCAGCAGCTTATCAGTCAAATCCTGCTTCCAAAAACAGGGGGGGTGTTTGCAGTGGGCGAACCAGGCTGGTTTTAGCACAACCCAACACTAAAAGCAGCCCCTTGGCACCAGTGGGAGCTCAGCACAGACAGCTTGGGTTGTTTGGGTTCTCTGACCGGATTTTAGGCTTTATTCGGGCAGAGTGTCCTGCCAGACCCCCCAACCTCCGTGTCCCCCCAGTTCCCCACGCTGTCAGAGCCCGTGTCACAACACGCGGAGCCACCGCAACAGGTTCTTTTCCTGAGGGATCCCTTGGAGGGGATGAAAGAGAAACAGCCCTGGAGAACTGGAGTGACACCAGGGATGGCTTTTATTTTTGGCACCTCTGGAATCGTAACCGAGGATCGCTCAGGGGGCGATTCCTGCCAGGATGAGAGCGAGGCACAGAGTCACCATGTCCCTGTGCCCATCCCACAGGATGGATCCAGCTGCAGAGCCCACAGAGAGGAGGAAC